AGGAGTTTACAACGCCAAAGAGAATGAGCTCACAGAGTCGGATACTGAGCTCGCCCCTTGGCCCCACCTGGGCCTTTGGTGGGATGGGGACGAGCTACTCGAACTTTTCAACGATGGCAAGTTCGAGAAGTGGGATTGGGAGAAGCCTAGCGCCTCCAGCAGTCTCCCTCGCATCTTGAAAGTCAGCGACTTTGGCGGAGTCACTGCCGGGAGATATCCGAACTTCATTGGTGATATTCTCGGGGACTGGAGAGAGGAAGTCATTGTCACCAATGAAGCTGCCGATGAGTTGCTCATCTTCACGACGGACGAGCCGAGCAATATCCGCTTGTATACTCTGGCTCATAATCCTGCATACCGCAATGCAATGACTCTGAAGGGATACATGCAATCTCATCATGTTGACTACTATCTTGGAAAAGACATGGAGACACCACCGCAGCCGAAGATCCGATATACAGTCGCTGGGTAGGGGGAACTACAAGAATGTTTAAGTCAGAATGATGTACAACATACTTCCCCCCATTGGGTACAAAATGATTCTTCATTTCAGGTTGGTCGACAGGTGTGTGAGGAGCGATGAGTATCTTTAACGCAGTGACATGTCCGCTTGTAGCTCGATAGAATATTTTCTGGTATGTCAATCAGTCATTACATGTATGCTTTAGTCAAGTTCCTGCGCTCATCGACGCCCGTACTTCTCCGCCTTCCTTTTGCGTCCCAAGATAGGGAATTCATTGCCTTCAAAGACAACGCAAAAATCGAACTGAAGGAAAGGGTGATATCTCAATCACAGCCAACTATGACTCTTACAGTAACTGTGAAGATGCGACTGAGACAACTTTTTGACATTGTATATCCTACATGACCTGATTGGACTTATCGATAGACACGCCCTGAAATCTGTGGTAAGCCATTGTTGGGTAAGTCGGCAATGAATAGGACGTGGTCTGCACTCCGTTCTCGAGCTGCAATCCCTGTATGAGCTGTTGTGGGACGGCGTTATCCGCCTCCTCGAGCCGAGCCTTCATGGCAAGCCAAGTCAAGGTTGGCTTCAATGCCCACATGATGAAAGCCACAGCCGAAGCCAAGACTGTGAAACACAACACAGGATGCCCAAAAACAAGACCAGCCTGCATAATGGTCCCTGCCACTGCGAAAGGCGAGATGAACTGCAACTAAACATTGTACGCCGCAGTCAGCACGCACTTATTTTGAGCCTTTTCTCAAGCAAAAAATGGAGCAGGTTACTTGAGGTGCAAGTTGGGAAGCTTACTATTGTGACGTTCCAGTATTGCAGGACGATTGCGCGGTTATCCCCGACTGCAACATGGAGACCGAGCTGCCGAGAATATTTCGTTAACTCGCGAACGAAATGGCGAGTGGTATGGGTTGTGTCTCGACTTACTTTCTTTTCAAACCTTTCGACTTTGACTTTAAGTTCCTCCATTTCTTCTCGGATTGCCCTAAGTTCATCTAGAGATCGACTGATCTCGTAGAGTGAGTCATTCATATGATTGAGTCCATCTTCGCTCGATTGACACACGATACGGCTGGCGTCCTGGTCGAAAAACTTATTCCATGCCTTGATTGTCTTAGTGAGAAGGAGAATCCATTGGATAACAAGGTCACTGGTTTGTCCAAGCCATGCCTCACTTGCTTCAATGGCGTACGATTCACCTCGCATGGTGCCAAGTGAGGATTCTCTCCGAGTCAAAGGTATGTGCGGACTAGAGAGCTTGCATACGCTTATGTTAGCAATGAATGGGTTACATAGAGTACATCAAGGTACAAAATCATGGCACGGAGTGATGACTCCTGACGATTCAGGCCATGTTCCAGGTCAAACCATCTTACACATATACTGTAGATATCGAGGAATGGTGGGATTTTGCCACTTACATATTCGTCAATCATGTCTTTCAGCTTGAAAAGGACGTTCATCCAATGCTGAGTGATCCTTACGACGTGAAACTTTACTACCAGAAGAAAGTATTCACGCGGATCCGTGACCGACACATTGTCAGCTGTTAAATTTGCAATGCTTAGTGCATCAAGTTCGCAACTAGTCATATCTGGGTCAGGATATGGGTCGGTGACATAGAACGGCAGCAAGTATTCGTTGTTCGGGTCGCTATCGTCTTCAAAGTAAGAATCCGTGAGGCCGATTGCTGTCCAGTGAGATGTATCACGTCCAGTAACACAGATAGATGTTTGAGCCTCGTGTAAGTAGTCCAAACCATGTGCGATGCGGTCCGACCTTGGAGCGCCTGGTAGGAAGGATAAATCTGTGGACTTGCGTAAAGGTAGACCGTCCCCAGTAACACGCTGATCTCTTCGTGGAGAGTGTTCCCTTTTCCAGACGGGGTAAGCCAAGTGGAACTCCAGAGTGAAGCCACCGTCAATCTGTTTATGCCGTGAGCAACACGAAAAGCTATGGCTTATGATTTCTTGGGAATGGTCTCACCACAGTGTCAAGGCCAATGGATGTTTTGGCTGTGAGATGCTTGAACATAAAGTCTCTGATGACTGGGGCTTGGTGTTCAGGGGCTCTGACAGCTAGAACTCCAAGTGTCCATTGACAGGGGTTGTTGATACAGCTGATATTTAGTCAGTGATCGCACGAATTGCACCTTCCCTCTTGAACCAGGCTCTTACATCTTGCGGGTATCAGCATTCGGAGTGTCCTTTTCACCGACTCGCTAATGAAGAATTAGTACAGAAGCATTGACTATCCATCAAGCACTTATAAAAGAAGCAGAGTTGATGCCAAGGTTACTCTCTAAATTTCTCAAAGATCTGAGTTAGTTCTCACCTGTAAATTGAGGTGGCGATCGAAATCCAAAAGTGAGAGTGATCCGTTGTAACTTCTTGGTCTATTCGAGAGATCTCGGTCATGAAGCCATGCTGCCAAGTTACTCGGCGTTTCGAAATTGCCTTCGCAGATTCTTCTCAAGACCGTTTCGTCGAGAACATTCTGGAAGACAGGCAACTCGTACTCAAGCCGAGGTGAATAGTCAGGGATATTGAGGAAGGTGGAGAGGAGACTAGGACTTGTTCCTTCATCTTCAAAGCGTCTTTGGTATTTAGTGTGTAAGTCAATGCGGGAGATCTCGGGGTTCCGTCTTGTCATTGGACGATTCCACTGGACAGGTCGGCGTGGGAACGGCCGTGATGTTGCTCGATCCATTGTGGAAACGTCATTTTCAGGTGATTATGCTACAAGTATGTTTGTTTTCCCATGACTCAAGAATCATTCCTGAGATGTGAGAGATGATGGCCATATTTAAGTCCGGAGTATGCAGAAGCCAACCAAGCCATTCGTTGCCCGACGAAAAGGATTGTCTAGACTCTCTTTCCTCCCAGTGGCTCGGTTTAGTCCAAAAAAAGGGTTGTCCAACCGACACAGAAGTATCTTAGTGTATTTAAATGCATTTTCCCAATCACTTTAGCCAATCAACTTCACTACGAATGCGGTGCAGAACCTGCGCCACCATCCCTGCTGCCCTCGCTTCACTCGTTTCCGAAACCCAACCCGTTGGGCATGACCGTGAGCGTGTTGAGGCCCCAATAGGCTTGATGTTGTCCAAAGGTGTGCCCTTGATGCAGTTCTGATTGCTTGAAATACTTGCGGGTGTTACCGACAGCCCTGAGAAAATTAAGCGGTGCATTGGCCAAATCAATGTTGAGACGTCTTCTCGCGCCTCACGATTGAAGGTGAGGAGAGCCGAGTTATCGGCAGCTTTCAACTTCGGAAGCAGCAACATTCTGATTCTTCATTTGTCTGATCTTGAGCGTGACACTGGTCAGGGCGAACAAGGCAGCCGCGCTAATGCTCATTGCGACGAACGGAATTCTTCCACGACATCTTCAAGATTGACGCGCATGCTTAAGTAGTATATGTCAGCTTTCTTCCGATGCTGCTATTTGTTCTTGTAGTGCCCCATGACACCCTGAACTTGCGCCTTTTATTAATTACCAATGAATTCTGGATTCACAAGGAACTGCGGCCATTGCTATCTCTCATCTCGATATTATGTACAAATCTGTCTCTGCTTGATTTCGTATTTCTAATGTTGTTGGGTTCCTAACACAGCCATTGGTAGAAGATATGATGGCAAGGGCTGTTGTGAAGCGCCTTTGAGGGATTGCCTCATCAACCTACTAAGCTAGTGACTCGTCTGGACCCCGAGTCTGGGGAGTTCGCCGGTGCCACGCTGCATAAAAATACAGGCAGGAAGAACAGGACGTAAAACCTGTGAACGTGGAAGCAGCGCAACGTTCGGGAACTTGCATGGTTGGACATGGGCAGCCCTGGGGTACTGGACCAATCCTTGAATGCATGATGCCGCGCCATCAGCTCGCAGACTTGCGAAGGACATGTACGCAGCTTTCATGTATCATCTAATGTGCATTAGGTGATTAACTACGACAAAAGTGTGTTGTGGAATGCATATCGTAGGTGAGGTGGGACATATCAAGAAACGCAACTTTGGCCTGACAAGAGACCGTCGGACCCACGCGCACCACCTGCGGGATCGACCGCAGGTTGTTAGCGCGGCGCCACAAAAGTAACAAAAGTAAGTAGTGCCCCGCCCTTTAAAATGTCTTTTGCCGGTCCTGTCTACTCTATTTGGACCCCTCTAAATGACTAAGGTATAATGCATGGATTAAGCAAATGAAAAGCAGAGTGCATCCGGACTTTCCTCAAATGTGGTATGTCCCTCTGCTGATTTGCAAGAGTGTGCTTTTGAGGGGGAAAGTCGCTGCTGGAGTCGCCGCTCGTCTCCGATCAAATCCCTGCTTATCCCACTCAGCATGCTTCAGCCCACCCTGCTTCATTCCAGCTTTGCTCGTCCTCTTGCACCATCGTATCCAAGACGCCAGCGCATGATAATGGTGAGGTGAGTGAATGAGTCCTAATGCCTTGGTGAAATATGACTTTATCGGTGTATATAAGCCACCAAAGCTCTCCCGGCCGTGAATTACACTGATGTATGGCATGAAAGAAGTCAGGTCTCAAGCAGGAGAGCGGACTAGCGACGACAAGTAAAGATACGTTGTTGACCTCAAATCCTGATTTTCGCGACCGGGCAATACGCGCAGCGCGGGCAACCACATGCACCGCAGCTCTCATGACGGATAGCGTTGCCAGTTTGCCCGCAACGGCACTACATTAGCCACTGGTGAGTATTGTTCAGCAACGAGAGATTCGAGACAACTAACACAGGTCCAAATATATACTTGCTTCCTTTTTGGTCCTCGTTGGAAGATCCCGGTCCACGACCAGTCTGTGCCGCCGGGGTCATCGACACCTAGAGGTCTCGCGTTCTCCGGAGGACAATGGCGGGGCTCCAAAAGACTACACGATACAGCATAATGGGTGATGCTGTCGCCGAGGGTATTTTCCAGCGAGAAGTCGACGACGTCCAGAACAGTTTCATTGTCAGGTATCGTATCACTGCCATGGTCGCCTTCCCGATATATGGCACCTCGACATAAGATCGAGATATGGTCTTCTTGACCATGACCTGATGCAGAAGAGGGCACGGGCCCTGCCCCAACAACAGGCGAGCCGTTACTGATCACGATTGGGAGGGTCAGTCATCAGACGGCTGGCAAGGGTTCGCAAGCAATCTTACGCTGCTATCAGAGAGCTCTGAGCGCTCACGACGTTCTGCATCTTTGACCTGTCGACTGACGACTCTCGTACTATGTCTTGAACGGGTACAGAAAGCTTTCAGTCGCCAGCATTCATCAAAGAACGATATCGGAGTGTGTAAATTCAGTTGTGCGAGAAATCACGTGCATCTACCCATGGTCTCATGCACGAGTGAGTCCGCACCCCAACATTCTATCCATGTGGGGGGGACTCAACGCATCCTTATACACAATCTCTTACAGAGAGCTTATAGAGAGAACGTTACACAGTGCAAGCCCTCCAGTTCCGATGGAGGTTTGAATTAGGGCAAACAGACAAAGCAGATTGGCAAATGGACTTTGGAACAGAATCTGATCCATTATAGTTGAGCTTTCAATGCTGTTTGATATTCGCGAGAGAATCTCCCGTGTGTATATGGTACCTGTTGATAAAGTTCAGCTTGTTAGGGCAAGCATAGCCCTCCGGCTCTTTAGCATGGATTGGTTCCTTTCCTTCCCTGATTGAAGGCTTGACGAAGTTAGCTAATCATGTAATCCAGCTAAGCCAGATTTAGCGTATACAAAAAAGGTCACCGAGTGTTCATCACAGCTGGCACGAGGCGACAAACAGAGAGTACAAGCAAGGGAGCTGTCGTGTACAACAGAATCTGGCGATTTGATTATTTAGGCTGTCCTGGGGGCTCTTGGGTATTGATTCCCCAATGGCAATTCTCTCTCCTTACGTGTTGAGCCTCCCTTTGTCTTACTTACAACCATGTCCAACAGGACAAGGCCGAAAGTTTACGATCATCTTGATGGGGAGACTCGTGTAGAGGCCTCAGTGCTAGCAGCTAACGTTCTCAGGGGGTCATTCTATTCAATTCAGCGAGATGTGAACCCTGCCACAACGCTGCACGGCCCAAATTTACCTACTAATGATACCTGAACGACCATGCCAAGTCAACTTGAAAGCCATTTTATCAACTGTCCGACGGCACACAGGATCTTGGTCCGAATAGCGCCATAGATATGAGCCAAAAGTCTTGAAGGGGGTAAAGGTTAGAAGCGGAGATGGATGTAAGGTCATCTCCAGCAGTTGATGGAATGTTTGCTTTAAAGACCTGTCCTACTAGGATTTCTTTGCCACCCAAGACTGAGCCTGGTAAGCATTGGTTGTGAGTGCTTTGACATCAAATCCATACGCCGCTTTCTTGCCCCTAACCCTCTCCCCTGGAAGTGTTATTCCTCCACAAGCCTCGCTAGATTCCAAAAACTCGAATCCCAGACTTTTCGTGACTTCAACGATTTCGTTGAGCGATAGCTGAACAAACGGACCAGTGCCCCATAGCAAGGGCCCATGATTGATCCAGTATCCACCAGGTCTCAATAGCGAGTAAATCGTGTCCAAATAGGTCATGACATTCCTTGCTGTATCGATGAAAAAGTGCGTAATTATCACGTCGTATTGTCCTTCCCGTGTCGTAAAACTGGTTGTGAAATCGCCTTCGACAAGTAAGACTGCGCTAGCATTCACCCGCCAGTCTGGAAATGAGATGGACCGCATCATATCATCAGTTGATGCATGGTGCGACCAGCTGTCAATGAACGGATGTAACGAGGTCGTCTGCACTTCGGGGTGAGCCTCCAAAAACCGGGTGACGACATTCATGAAGGAGGACCACTCGTTGCTTGTCACTTCAAAACCTCCCAAACCGGCGACTTCATGGGCTAGACGGCCCAAACCTGAGCCGGGAAGTAAGGCCCGAACATTTGACCGGTTGCCGTCGGGGAAGAGGGATTGAAGCGTGCCGATGAGGCACGGAAATGCATCGTCCCGCTCTTCGTGCCCAGCGCGGGACCAGTCCCGGACGAAGTGTTTGAGGGCCTGGGAAACGCTCGTCTTGTCGGCGATTTGACCGGCCTCATCTTTTGCCTTGCTATGCCGTGCAAGGTCATCGTGCGAGAGTCCGTAATAGCTGAGTGCGGTCTCAACGATTTCATCGCACAGTGCTTGGTTAACATCGAGGAGCTGCTCTACCCTATCAAACTTATTCGAGTAGCCAACTGTTGTCTCCAAAACCTAGAGACAAATTAGAAATTGACAGCATCAAGGTCTCCTGACGGACACGCTCACCTTCTTCTGGGCTTTCGTGACGTGCTTGTACAATCCCTTCAAGCGATCGACTTCCGCCATCTGCCTAGACTTGTACCTTGAGAAGCCAAATAGAGCCTCGAGTAACCGATGACGAGGATGATTGGTGTCCCACTTGCCATGGTGTTTGCTCAAACGCTTCAATAAGTGCTTTTTCTCCTGGATATGCCGTGGACTCATCTCATCCGAGGCATTACCAACGGTTACCGTCACTTGATGTATTAGCTCAACAAACGGAGCGCCCTGCATCTACACCATACGATCATTAGCGTTCACGAAAGATGAACCTATCACTACCCGTCCGTTGTGACCTTCAGTTGGACAGAGAGCCCTGTTGGGACTTGGGCCAACGGCAAGCAACATCACACGGCTGCGGCACGGGTTTCCACTCACAGTTGGGGCGGCGATTCCAACATCCTCCGCAGCGTCCCTCCTTTCGGCCGGTCCTCTGCTGTGGGTATCTGCAGATATGACACAGAAAGTCAATTGAGATATGATGAAGTAAGAAAGGGAAATTAAGGCGCGCATGGCTGCTGATGCTGTTGAGATTGTGTAGCGTGGGGGTGTGAAGCGTGGCAAGATGTTCCCTAGCCGAAGTCAATTTGAGAAGTTATCAAGAGTGGCTTCACTTCTACCGGCTGTAATCTTCATTACTTTGAATGTGGGCAATTCGGATTTAAACAAGTGTTGTGAAAACACAGATGAGTGAGTAGGTACCTTGATGGCCGCCAAGCCCAAGAGGTGGATAATTTTTGCAGCCAACAAACAAAATCTTGTGGCTTAGCATGGTAGTCTTGTGCAATATATCCTACGTTTTCTCCCAAAAAGGCCCAAATCCCTTCGAATGTCTATATTTCACATGCAATCGTCTATCTTCAGAGTCAAATTCCATCATACGTAGCCGTTAGTCCCATTCGTGAGTTTCCCATTTGCTGTCACCGCATCCTCCTTCAAATATTCGTTCAGCCGGTCGCGTGTCTTGCAGTTCTCCAACGCAAAACTAGCCGCCAGCTCCTCGAGCTCATCTTCCGTCTTTCCTCTGAACAGCTCTGCGAATTCCCAGCCGGCGTATTCGCTCATCAAGCACTCACGCACCACACGCTCGACCTGCCTATCAAAGTTCCACACCTTGGGGTACTTCTTCTTAAGCAAGTGCGCGGGAATTTGCTTCTTCAACTTCTCAATAAACGGTGCGTAGACCTCGTTGTCAATGGCGCTCTTGTCTGCGCAACCCCAGAAGTCCAGACCGTTCCGCTGCTTTTTCTCAACAAACGGCTGGATGAGGCGCATGTACGGGCTCTCTGGGTCGAGGTAGACCATGCCTTGGTAGCCGATATCCTTATACAACCAGATGCTCCATGAGATGCCGTCGAACTCCCGGTATATGGCGAGCTGCTCCTTAAGCAACGCGAAGCGCTTCTCGTTGGTCGCCTCGGCGTTGGGATCCGTTTTCGGGTTCTGATAGACGGGACCCCACTCGCCGTTCCAGATCGGCACACCAGCCTTTTGCATGAATTCCACCTTACGCTTAAGACTTGTGCGCAACTTCTCCTTCTGCTCAGATGTGCCGTCGTACTGCTCGGGAAGGGGAAAGCCCATCATGCTGTAGTCGTGGCAGCTGTAGACACTGTTGGGCAGTGTCTTTTCTGGTGAAAAGGCAGAGAAGTCCATGGCGTAGGTGTTGCCGTCCAGGAAGAGGATGTGGTCGGGGTCGATAGCGCGGATCGCCTTCTCGGCGCGCTCGTACCATGCGATGAGGCGGGTGTGCTCAGGGTCTGCTGGCTCATTTAGGGGGTTGTATCCCGCAATGACCTTGTTGCCGGCGTAGTGACGGGCGAGAGCCTCCCACAATTGAATTGCGCGATCCTGGAAGTCTTTAAACTCCCAGAAAAGTGCTCTGCTGATTCCTGAGTCGCTGTGCCAGTCCTGGTTTTGCCCACCTTGCACCGCATGGAGGTCAAGGATGACATAGATGTTGTACTTTGCGCAAATATTGACGAGGCGATCGAGAAGATCGAAGCCAGACTGCTTAATTACGCTCGGGTTGTCGTCATCCTGAAAGTGACGGTAGTTGAAGGGTATCCTCAAGCAGTTGAGACCCAGTTGTGCGTACAAGGCGGCGTCGGCCTCTGTGAAAAAGTGGTGGATGAGACGGTTGAAGAAGAAGTCGGCTTTCTCCTTGCCTAGTACTTCTTCCAAGGCAGCGCGATGTTCGTGCTCGTGACCGGCGTACCCGGTGATGAAGTTCTCCATGTTGAGCATGCCACCGAGGCCGGCGCCCTTGAGGATTACTTCATTGCCGTTCTCGTCGACAATCTTAGTTCCCTTGACGCGAAGCATCGTGAGAGGGGGGTTAGATGTAGCGGCCGACATAATGAGCGGGTATGAGATTCTAGGTCTGGGAATACGTTGTTGCTGATTGTCGGTCTTTCTCAGGACGGTTCTTTATACCCATCAGCATCGTGACCAAGACTAGACAGTGGACCGATTCGATAAGTATGGCCCAATCATGACATCGTATCGAGGCTCTGTTCTGCTGTCATCGCGTATGGCTAATTGAGCGTCAGGCTGTCCCCCTCACCTTCTTAAAGGCGACACTCCGCGAAGGTGGGTTGGTGTGGGGCTTGCCTCAAAACACATTCTCCATCAATCCCGCATGTGAATCAGCCCGACTGGACCGACTAGAGTCTGGGGTACAGCGATTTGCGCATGAGATGGAGCTAGGCTCTGACCGATGAGACCCCAGGAGCTGCCTATTGACATTCCTGGTAGTCTTCGCTCTGTATCGACCAAGTGACAACATGACTTTCCCACGACATTTCCCGGTTCCACGTTGTGTCAAGCGGAGTATCGATCGAGTTGCATTTAGCCTGAATGAATCGATGTAGTATTGCCGGTACTCAGCTTCTAGACCCTTGATGGACAAAGATCAAGATATCATGCCCGGCAAATAGCCTCGACTAAACCCGTAAACGATAAGCCGATGGGGATGGTGCCGAGATCATCCCACATGCCTTGTCCAAGACGCGACGAACAAGCTCCATCTCGCGCGTTTCGCACTCCCAAAACGCAAGTAGATCAATCACCTCTCCTACGGCGCCATACCAACCATTCGGTAGGGAATGTCCACCTTCAGAACCGCTAGACTGGGTGAGCAATGCTGCCGCAACCAACACCAGGGCGCTTCGCGAGCAGGATCGCATCATGGGCAGCGTGCCATGGTGGCGATGTCTATACCCTAGAAGATTAATGGCGAGTCGATAAGCGTGGTTTTCGAGACCTTTTTGAGCCAATAATTCTACACTAGGAGTAAGAACCTCGCCAGCGAACTCGGGGTTCGCCCCAAGTGCATCGAGGAAAGCGGTGGTAAATGGCCAGTATATCACCTCATAAAGGTTCACCGCGTGGCCTCGGAGCACGAATCTGCACACATCATCCTCTTCCGGAGGCTCGGCGAATGAGAGGCTAGGAGGAAGCGAGCTTATCCACTCTTGTGCTTGCTCCTCGTACTGTGGCACTGCCGCGGCCATTGCCGCGAGGTATGCTTGGCGCGTGGGATGTTCTTTCTGAAGGCCCACCATCTCGGCACTAATTCGAGAGGCAAGCCTTCTGAGAGATATCTCGGCCAGGTAAAAGTACCATGATGTTCTCTCGCGAGCCAGACGCGGATCCGTTGCCGCCTCAACTTCTGCCCTGGGTGCTGGCGGCGTCGGGAAAAAGGGCGGGTAAAATGCCAATTCCTGATCGCTGAGTGAAAAGTCTGGGAGGTAGAGATCGCCTCGCATCTCTCGCTCAGATTTCCACGAGGACCAGTAGACAGCCTGCTGCAGCGTGTCGATGGAGTAATTCCGTGACTCGTCGCCCGACTCAACATTTCTGTGGTAGCGCTGTTGGGCCTCAGGGGTAAGAAACGAAAATTGCTGACAGCTAGCCAGCGCCTGCACGAAGTACCTCCACGCCTTGACAGGCTGAAATACGCACATCATGTAGACTCCTGAAAGAAATAGACATTGAGCCGCAATAATGTCATCTGACGACAGTAAAATCCCCAGTCGCTTCTGCGCGGCTTGGAAGAAAGCTTGAGCATCGCTGTGGGCTGCGGAACCCAGCATCGTCTCCTGGCTGGGCCCAAAAGGTGTGGCTAGTGAGCCTAATGCGCAGATCAGGAGAGATAAGCAGGACTCAGCCGACCAATTGATCCCTTCAAGTACCGTATGTGAGACCATCTTTCGAGTTGCTGTCTCGTCGAGGATCGGATTCTTGACATGGACGTAGCTGAAGAAACTATCGAGCAAGTCGTTGATCCGTCGCGGCTCCAGGTCAAGAGCGCCGATGAGGGACATTGGAGAATTCGCAGCTATTGATGCATGGTCGACATGCAGAGTTATGTCTCCAGCATCAATGCCATTGCTGATCTCCTCAAAGATGGCCCATGACATGACATGTTCTGGCCTCGGAGGGAGAATCATCCCCATCTGGATAAGAGGCCCCACTGGAGGTGCTTCTATTACCCGATGCTCGACCGGCGCCTCGACCACTCGTGTCTTGTTGCTCGGTAGTCCGTCGACTGTCACCAATCTCATCATTTCCTCCAAGTCATCGAGTCGTTCCAAGATCTTTAGACTAGCCGGGTCGAAGCTGGAGAGGTCGACGGGCGACTGGATGCAAGTAGCCCCAACCTTGAGACAGAAAGAACATGATGGCTTGAGATTGTCGCATTTCGTTCTCCGAGCTCGACATACTTGGCATGCTCTGACGGCTCTCTTCCGCTGATAGAATGCGGTTCCGCGTGCTGCCGGTCGGGTATTGGCTTTGGACGTGGACTGTTCCGGCCGACTCCGATCTGGGTCAGACGCGTCTGTGGTCGAAGGCACGTGGCTGTCCGGGGCAGATGGGTCTGCCATCAGGAGAAGGAAAGGATTGCCAGGCGTACAATGCTCAAATTTGTGGGGGATAAACAACACTACTTCTGAGAGGCGGTTCGTGGGTTGCAATGAGATGTTGGATGAGGTGGAAAGCTGGAGAAAAGACGGGGGAAAGTATCGCGGAGTGTCGCTTTTAATGTTCTTTCCTTCGCCGTCTGGAGATTTCTGCCGGCCTAGCCCGAAAGGGATTGCGGGGAAATTCCGGGGCTCCACACCAACCCGAGGATACGTACCTGTCGTTCCACGCTCTCGGATTTTCGAGGGCGGTAGTCTCGGCCCAACACGGAGGCGCGTGGACTGATTTTCTTCACGAGCCATTCCTTGACCTTGCCATATTAGGTGTTCGTTCGCCTGGCTGTGGCTTGACCAGTCGCGGAATGTCGCTCTTACGCCATCCGTCCTGTTGTCCTTGGACAAGGGGTTCAGCAAGAACTATCCGAATGACCTCAACACACTTAGGTTGCTCGGGACTATAGCACCATCACGAATAGGGTGTTCCAGCAACCTGACTGCCGGGAATGAGGAGTTAGCAAAGGATATAATCTCCAAGACTTCCCCAGATTTCCTGGTGATCATTCTTTTGTTCCCCAGTCTCCGCCGCTCCGCGACCCTGGTTAGCCATCTTCAGTTTCCACATCGAGTCAAAATCGAAGTTTGTCACATTCTGTGGCAAATCCCATCAAACATGGCAGAGAAGAACGACGTTTCGGATCACTTGGAAGCAAGTGTTTCTCATCATGATGCCAAGGGAATGGCCATCGGTGCGACCAACCAGCAGGAGCATGATCTCACTGTTCGAGAAGTTTTCAAGAGCCACAAAGCCATTGTCTGGTGGTGTTTCTACTGGGCGATGGCCGCCATTGGATGGTAAAACATATAAGATGACCTCAAAGAGTTACAATTGGCTGACCGTGCGACTCCTAGGGGCTTTGATGCTCAGATCAACGGTGCCATGATTTCCGTCGCATCCTTCAGGAGAGACTTTGGGTAGGGATCCACCTGCAATCTTCTGGCCCAACCCACCATCTTCGCAACGGTGCAAAAACTAACTAGAGACTCAACAGATATGTACTCGACGGCGAAGCGATTCTCCCCGCGGATTGGCAGTCTGCCTTCAACATTATCAGCACCGTTGGTCAGTTCTTCGGAGGTTTTGCCTGCAGTTGGCTTGCAGATAGAATCGGACGCAAGAATTCCCTCCTAATCGGCGTCGTCATCTGCACCGGCGGCTGCGTCGGCGAGATCCTCTCAGATACCAGGGCAGCTTTCCTCTGCTCCAAGCTGATCCTCGGCCTGGGACTCGGTTTCTACCTCACGCTTGCACCCCTCGCATGCAGTGAGCTGGCTCCCGTCGCCCTTCGAGGATATGCCACAGCTGGTGTTAACTTGGGCATCGCCATTGGCCAGCTCTTGTCCAACGCTGTTGTCAAGGCCTTTGGAGAAAGATCCGATCGCTGGGCCTACCGTGGACCCTTCGCCACCCAGCTCTTCTTCGTCCTCTTCCTCGCCGTTTTCCTGCCCTTCACGCCCGAGACCCCCTGGTACCTTGCCCGCAAGGACAAACTCGAGCAAGCAGCAAAGTCACTCAAGAAACTATATGGACAGGACTACGACGTTAACGCCAGGCTATCTGGAATTGTGGCGACAATTGAGGAGGAGAACTTGAACCAAACACATGAGCTTGGATTTGTCGACTGCTTCAAGGGCACCAACCTGCTTCGGACAGGTATCTCAACTGGTGTCTTCCTTTGCCAGCACTTGGTAAGTACCTCTTGACGTAAATATGCTTGACTCTTGGCTAACTCTGCACAAGGTCGGTATTATCTTTGTCCTCGGATACTCGACATACTTCTTCCAGCTCGCTGGCCTCGACGTCTCGAAATCCTTCGACCTCGGCGTGGGCGTCACAGCTTGCGGTGTCCTCGGAAACATTGTCAGTTGGTTCGTCATTGAGTCCTTTGGCCGCCGGAAGATCTTCATCTCTGGAATGGGAGCCCTGACCACGCTCCTCCTTCTCATTGGCATCATGGACGTCGTCCCCACGGATGCCGCAAAGTGGGTGCAAGCCGCCTGCACCGTCATTTATGCTTTCGTGTACTTCATGACGATTGGTGCCATGGCTTTTGCCATCCTAGGCGAGGCTTCCAGCTCTGTTCTGCGCGCGAAAACCATGGCCCTTGCTACCGCTACCCAAGCAATCTGTGGATTGGCGATGAACTTCGCGATTCCTTACATGGTCAACCCGGATGAGGGCAACTTGAAGGGCAAGGTTGGATTCATCTTTGGGGGGCTGGCGTTGATTGGTACTGTGGGAAGCTTCTTCTACGTCCCTGAACTCAAGGGTAAGACCTTTGATGAGATTGACCGTCTCTTCGTGGCGAAGGTACCACCGAGAAGGATGGGAAAGATGTAAGCTACTGGAAAGACTGCGGATCACTATTAGTTATCATTGGATAAGTGCTGTTTATTAATACACGATAAAACGTGGTCTAATTATGACTGAATCAATCCCTATCCTCTGTGATTGCTTGAAGGCGACTTCTATCCACTGGCTTTCGAGGCATTCCGATTGCCTATGTCAGATCGGTTGCGAGAGCATATCGGCTGCTTTTCTCTTCCATGCCAGATAGGTAGGTTCAGGGCTACAAGGGAGATTCACCTAATCTTCTACGCGAACCGCGGCGTTCAGTCTACTTTCTCGGCGAAGGCTGATCATACTCGGCAATGTAGAAAATCAAGTCATCTGGCTGAATACCCTCCGAGTCCTCCAAACTGGACACATACGCCCCCGTGACGTCCTTGCCCTCCATACTGTTCCACTCCCAGCACATCTTGTGAACGTGCCAGTAAAACGGGTTGTCGGTGATCTGTCCCCATCCAATCTCGCCCATGTCGATCTGGAAGCTCGTCTTGGGCCCGACACCGCGCATCTGCCGTGCCTGCGCGATCGAGTTCATCGCCCTGTACTCCATGACGTCGACGAATTGGACAGAGTCGAGGTCGGATAGCCACTTTCCCGCGCGTCCCCAGACACGGGCGATAATGTCGCGCAGGGAGACGCCCTTTTCATCAAAGCCGTTGGCGACGAAGTCGACCTTGATGCGGTTGCCGTCGATGCGGAACTCGTTGATGATGTAGCCGCCTGACGACACTGTCCATTTGTCGCCACTGTTGCTGACGCTGTAGCCGGCGTCGTCGAGCTCGTCGCAGTGGCCGAGGCACAAGAGGCCGCAGAGAACTGCTAGACAGTAAAAGATTATGGACCGCATTGCTAGAAATGGTACGAATAGGTGGTCTAATGATTGTGGAAGTAAAGAGCAGATGCTTCTTGAAGAAATTGAATATGCTTGAGACTTGGACCCAAATTTGGGTCACTGGCAGGCGCTTAAATAGTAGTGATCAAAGTACTCAATACACAGTTCTTATCGACTTACAATGCTACTTGCTACGTGAACCGATTCAACGTCGTCACCCACAAAGCTCGTATCCATTTCGTTCGGCCCAAAGTCCGAGACACGAATGGAGCGTACGGCGAGTTATGACACAGAGAAAAGCTTCGAAAAGTCAAAAAGATACCGGTGATGATTGATTCGGTCTCTCCGCCTGCAGAATCGAAAGTCGAGGCGTTCGAACATCGCATATAGACTTTTGTCAAATGGTCGGTGGAGCCTTGAAGCCGAGGACGCCGGCACCCATCTACAATGATTACTCCCAATGATGTTGACTTTGTCGTATATACTGTACTGCGATTAGTAAATCAACGCACGGAGGTGCCGTTCATTGAAACCACCAAGGTTGTTCGGTGCATGGAACTGACGAGAAGTCTATTTCACATCGGCACAGTTGAGGATAAACGCCCAGCCGTGTATAGGATCACCAACTGGACCGAGCTGAGAACAGCAGGGGGCTGATGAGGTGTATGTCAACTGTCAAGTACAGTTGCGCACTTATATTAACTTCCGCGATCATACTATAAGTATAGTCATGTAATTAAGTAAACCTTTTCAACGTCTGGGCGTCGTATCTCACCCGAGCCGAAACACAATTCTCGCGGAATTCCCTAGTCTCCATCCACCGTCGGGGGAGCCCCATGCAATTAAACTTAGTACCTTAGGATGCTCAGTCATGACGGCAATGGCGCAGAGTCTCGTGGATACGTCAGTCTTCTATAGACTCCTAATGGTCCTAGTCATATAAGTAGCCAGACTAGGGAAATCTCAGCCAACATTCACAGCTTGCTGAAATCACTCCTTCTTCTCTATCAACGACGACCTTGGGTACACAATCAATCAATCAAAAGCCACGCTCTATACGATAATTTGTATTCATCATGCATTCCTTTTCTACCGTTCTTCTCTTCATCGCCGCGCTGGCCGGCCACTCTGTCGCTCAAAGTTGCACCGACCAGTGCGCAGACGTCTTCGCCGTAGCGAGCTCAGAATGCCCGCACCTCGGCAACACAAAAGAAGACGCCGACACCCTTAACGGCCCCAAAATGAGCTGGAAGAACAACATCTGGTCCACCCGCGGCAAGGATGGTGCCGTGGTTGAGATCGACCCCAGAGCTTGCACTCTAAGAACCTTCGGTGGCCGTGACGACTTCTGCGGCATCTGGATCGGCGGTAAGGAGGAGAAAGGAAAGGGAAACACTGAGGTTAAACAGCCGAATGCATTGTTGCAGATTCCTTTCAACGGTGGCTGTTGCAAGATTGACAAAGAGTTCTGCAAAGATGGCGCTATTGACTGGGCGCAGTTGCTGAGAGTGAAGAAGGGGCCTGATGCTTCGTAGATATCGCATGCCGAAGGTTGGTGAACACTTTCGCAGAAAGCAGATCTTTGGTTGACAGGAATACAAATTGGAAGAATTTGCCAAAATGGCCTCAGCAACAGAAATTCAATCAGTCGCAGAGTATGTGGGAATAGCGAAATAGGTATGATTTGATAATGTGGGAGTCGTCATCTCAATTAAGGTATAGGACTTGATGTGAATGCCAGACGATCAATCTTTCTCTCAGTCATGGTACCGGTCATTGCTATAAACACAAAAGCCCAATGAGAATAGACTACTTGCAGACAAATGTCTGTGCACGTAATGCGACCGCATCATGCCACGAGAACGTTCCCATCATGTTGCGCGAACGCGGCTGACTGGGCAGTACGCGCAGCGAGGTTTACCGCAACACCTGCAACACTCGACGCGTATTTCTTGCCCGTGTTGCCCGCATTGACACTTCATGTTGACTAAAGCATTAGCTTTGTTCACCGAGTCTCGAAGATACAATCTCAAGCACGTACACATGTCCAGAGATTGACAACTGCTTTCTTAGGCCCCCAGACCCAGACCTCAGACTGATGAAGTAGCGGAATCCATGACTGGCAAGATGTTGAAACTGATGAAACTTTAGTATCAAATGTCTAGTTGAGGGATGATTGAGTTCCTTACTGTAGGAAAAGAGCATTGCGGCAGGCGCTGAAGACTAGCTATTTCACAAAGGTCCTGTCCTGTTGTCCCAACTCAATCCGTGGCCAAGGGTGATGGCTCGGCCAGCTTCTGCTTTGGTTCTCGTCAGTTCTCTGTTTCCTTGGAGTTACGCATGCTACTTACCTTTGCAATGTAGGGAAATGTAGTTCTTGAAGCTTAATGCGCCTTGTGACTTTTTCTCAAGACTTCTGTGGCTCACTTGTCAAGTTCTTAACGGTTCCAACATATACCTATCCAACGTAGGTAATCAATTTGTGAAGTCTATTGTTCGAGCCCATTTCCAGTTTTAGTCTTTGTAACAACAGCGCGCTTCGTATGGAGCCGCTATTCAAGGTCATGTCTTAGACCTGATTGTATAAGAGCGCGGTATTACGTGCCACTGGCCGTGAGTGCGCACGCGAGCACACCAATGGGGCTAATATCAGTGACCGGCGATCTGCGACAAAATCCCCGATGAAACGCCCGCAAGCCCCATGTGCGCCTTCGTGGTTCCTCCGCCGTGCGCACATCTGTACTAGGTACGGGCACTTCAAAGTTATGGAGATAAATACGTTCGGTCAACATCCTCACCTAATGAGACACAGCCACGTTAGATTCCGATGTTGAACAGAAAATCTTTTGGACAGCTAGGCCACCGACTTGTAAAAGCCCTCTGCACAAGCGTTCTTGTCTTTGTGCAAATGATGCCTCCCGTGAATCCAGGTACTTGATTATCGACGTGAGATTGGTTGATTACCTGTATTTGAGAAGCGACTTGCTATGCTTATGACCATATCGAGGCTGTCTTAGCTCAACTTCCAATTCGAGGAGGCTGGAACTTGAAAAAAGCGACAGGACATGAAAACACATGATCAGCTCATGTGTGCCGATTATCGCGAGTCTCATGCTTCCGGGAACGTCAGGTTTGATCGGTGAAACGAATTCGTATCTAACTCTTAACTTAATAAATTGTATGATTGTGAAGAGGAAGGAGGGGCCGTTGCATCATTGACGTATAAGCTGAGAGTGATCTTCCGGCATATCTTTGTTTATATACCTATTTACTATGAATAAAACGCGTCCTAGTATTCACGAAGTTTAAAACACGCGCGATTGTTGAATTTAAATGCAGCTCACTTGAATTCTTCAAGCTCCTGCCGTTGTATGAGAAAAGACTCAGGAGTACTAGTGCCTTTAGCCTTTAGCCACTCTGCGCCATGGGGTTGCGCGTGCATCCATCGGTAACTTTCCTAGCACATCGAAACCCTCGGCTACGTGAGAAGAATTATGAATGCATGCAATTTCATCCTGAAATCCTATTAATGTCATTGAGTGGACCAAACTTACCTAGTCCATGCTTGTGACATGTGAGGTAAAGTGAGACAGGCGGCTGCGATTATACGCACCTCAGTTCACCGGGTGTAGGACCAGAACAATTGACTCGGCACCACGATAACCGGAATTTCTCTGAATCACCTTACACAGTGGCGGCTTAAGATACAATGTCTTTGTATGCGAATCCTCGACAGAGCTCAATAATTAGTCCACATCACCAAGACCGATGTCGGCATCCAATTCCGTAAGGCAGACTTGGAAGTTACCAGCATTATTGACATGTCTCAGATTTCGGTATGAATTGGTGCCTAGATCATTGAACTCTAAACGAGTAAAACCTGGTGTTAATTTACAAGGCACCTGACGAGATAGCAGCGTACAAAGTGGTCTGCCAAACCCCCCCTGACGTTTGCCTAGCTGCCTGGCATTCTCATATCGGGGTTACACAGTTCCCACGGCAACAGGCTAGGTCCGACAAGGATGCCACTGTTCAACTTTGTCAGAACACTTGCGTGACACGACCGAAGTCGGATGATTCAATCAAAGGATTTCCAAGCTGTGCCTAAGCTACTTCGTCGGATGATGTTACTTCTAGTAGTTCATTTTGGCCAACTGTGCAAAGTAGATGTATGATGTAACACTCAGGTCCGAATAAAATGTATTTTGTCCATCTAAGTCGTCTCTCACTGCCACATCCGCCCGACACGTGAACAAGTGTTGGGCGCCTTTCCAGGGCAGCACTGATACAATTCTTTCCTTGAGCGATCCGCCTTACCTACTTATCTCAGGCATTTAAAACGATTGCTCCCCCTTTTCCATTGGCGAGAAGCTTGTTGCATTTTTGCTTGGCCAATACCTGCTATCTCTTTATTGTCACCTTAGGCCAGACCGCCATACGAAACATAAGCCGGAAAGATTGCCTTCAATGTTACCTGGCGGCGAACACCTTGACCACGGGAGGTCTAACGACAAGATGGGTCTCAAGTTGATTCCAATTGGCTTCAATTTAGCCTCATTTCCTTACTGTGCTGGAATAGACGGCTCGGACAATCCAAAATGGATTATACCTGATCCGTTCAATCATGGACCAAAACGGAAACAGGCGTATGTGTGGTCGTGTGTGCGTATTCCTTGCATATCTTCATACCTAGACCTGAGTACTAATCATCAATCCCAGTGCCGCTGTCAACAGAGTGGAAATCCCTTGCGACAAGAAGCCTGCCAAAGTTGCGGGAAATCACGTTGCGCATACTGCCCTGTGATAAAAGTTAGGAATTAAGGTTGTTTTGACCCTACCTGCACATGCGTTGGAGACCGGTGGTCGTCGTGTAAACCCCAGTAACTTGACCTTCTTTGTCAAACATCCATACACAGGAGTTCGCTATGAGAAGATCTACACTATGTATTCTTAACCCCTATACCTCAGATCGTCAAAGAATTGCAGGAGAAAATATAGAACATTGGCCTGTATGGGTTTCGTTGGAGGCTCAGAGGGAATCTTACTCATAGAGGCGCAAGGGTATGTGTAGCTTCATACGCTTTGGAATTCATCTATATGCGGATTCGAATGTCTGATTCATATCATCAGGATGTAGCCAGTATGACAAGCCTTTGTGCGAGCCGCCAACGTTCATCGAAGTGATCTGTTGAAAACTTTGCGGCCGTTTCAGTGCCTTCGTGACGTTCTGAGGGGGCGGAATGAAGTCTTCAAGGTCACCGCAAGGCTCGATCAGGTACGAATCCGGAATTGTGAGATATCCCCCAATCACCGGATCTTTGCGGTAACATGACCATGGAGATAGTCGGAACAAGGTTTGAGGCCCGATAACTTGTCCAGATCCATTGGTGATCTTGTTGTTTTGACGTTGTGGAAAGAAAACAAAAGCGTTTGATAGCTGCGCAAGTATATTCACGGCATCGCCAAACTGTGGCTCCTAGGGCAGCTGAGACCTGGTCACTGGCGTGAGGTGACAGGAGGAGCATCAGTTGGTGTCCATGTGCTCGTATAATTGTTTTGTACTTATCACAGAGTATATATGCGTAGCACACTTGGTTCTTGATCAAGGGTGCCCAATGAATTTGCCTAATCTTCGCGTCGCATCGTCACACGTATACCACATATGCTCGGAACAGTCCTGGGGCTATGCAATCCCCCTCAGCCACGTGTTACGTGAAGTGTTGATATTTTCAGACGATCGAGGGGAGCAAAGACCCACAAGGTCTTGTACAATTCTATACAGAAAAAAAGAGCTTAATTCCATGATTTGCAAATTTACAGATTTGTACCAGCTGAAACTTCAGGAAATACCCATCCAGCTAGTGCTACAAGACAGCCTGCACAGTAGGCTAAATATTCTTATTAAACCAGGAACAAGGAAGCAAGTTCTGAGACATACCAGACCGAATATTATTTATCTATGGAGCCACTGGGGAAGTAATTGAACAGCTGGAGGCTCACCGTATCACTAAGGTAGATGGAAATACTTTCGAAATTAAGTTACTAGCGATGAGTGTAGCGATCAAACCGAAAGAGAATGGCAGACGCGACCTTCCGCACTAAAGGACATACGACGAAGAGATATTCTTTGGTAAGCATGGGGTTTAATCCTGAAAAGCACTTAAATTATAGAAGCGGAGACGCTTTTGAAAGTCTAGACGACTTCTTCTTGAGCGTGGCTCCGCGAGAGGCGATTCTTAGGCGACCCAAGAAATGCTGACGGGAGAGCTCCGGAACTCCATGCCTCTAATTCTACAAGTGGATCACACAATCTGCCTTGGCCTGCTCTGTTTCTAATCTCCTGGGACATAGCTCTTTGTGAGTACCATGTCATTGCCGGCCTCGTACCATATGTGATAATGCAGAGTACCACTGTGAGAACAGTGAAGCATAAGATAACCGGCTGAAAGACGATACCAGCCTGCATGATACTTCCAGCAAGGGCCAGAGGCGAAACAAACTGCAACTGTACATTGTCGGTGAACTCTGTCAGCAGGCTCTCATGTCTCTAATATACCTATGTATACATCACGGGTAGTAACCTACCAGAGCTATGTTCCATTGTTGGAGCACGATTGTTCTGTTACCGCCAATAGCCACATGTAAGCTCAGCTTCTCGGCGACTCATTTTAGCAGTTCTTCAGCATACGATTCATGGTATAGTTGAGGAAATAACTAACTTGTGCTCTGAACTTCTCAATTAGATCTTGGAGGCCTTTGAGGTCAACCCAAATCTTCCTCAGTTCATCGGCGAGTACCGCGATGTCATAAAGCAGAAGCTGAGCATTTTTTGAGCTAAAAAGCTCGAAGGATCGTTCAGTGAAGCTTGCGTCCCGGTAGGAGAATGCGTCCCACGCCGTGACTGTTTTGGACATTGTCTCAGTGAGACGGGTCAAAATTGAGGTGACTTCCCTGACCCAAGCCTCACTTTTCTCTATGGCATCTGCTTGGCCATCGGCATTACCAAGCGTTTGTTTCTGTCGTAGATGTGGAACGTGAGGAGCACGCAACTAAGGAGTCCAATGTGATTAGTTTACAATTTACAGAATTAGTAGACTAGGAAATATTCTCACATATTTTCGGACGCCAATCTTCATATGATAGAGAACGTTCCTCCATTCGTCTTTGCATTTCTCGCCTCGAATTTTCAAAGTCATGAGAAAGTATTCTCTCGGGTCGTTGATACTTACACGGTCGATCGGCAGTTCAGCCATCGATATTGCATCCCATTCGATCTCTTCAACATCCTCATAATAGGCCAACAGGTCCTCGTTGTTTGGGTTAAAAGCATCAGGGTAAAAGTATGTGTCCGTAAGAGCACAAGCGGTCCAAATAGTACGATTCCATCCAAATACTGCAAGGGAGGTCTGGGCCTCATAGAGGAACTCATGTTCTTGGCTTTCGGCGCTAGTTTTCGCACCTGATAGCAAAGTTGAAAGAAATGAAACGTCGGTAGTTTCTCTTGTCGGCACACCATCTGAGGTGGAACGTACGTCTTTTCGGGACTCTTTCGATCTACGCCAAGCAAAGAATGGGATATGAAACTGGAGAGCAAAAGTTCTATGACATGGCTGCCATGAGTCAACAATGATGCCTTTCCGAGATCGGAGACGAGGTAAAGCCTGCCTACCGAGAATGTCATTCTGATATGACTGTCTCCCTCAAAATGTTTCATGAACAATTCTCTATAGACGGGGATTTGTAGTTGGGATGCTCTCAAGATCAGCGGCCCAAGTGCCCATTGATCAGGATTCGGGATGTGCCTGTACCCACCGCAGTCAATGAATAGGCCTTATCAACAACTCCATTATGGCCCTACATCAGTCTGCCTTCTGAATTGCACTCATAATTTTCGCCAAAACGCTATGCAGGTGTGTGAGTGGTTGGTGTGCCTAAGTAGGATAGAAAACTGGTGAGTTTCATGAGAAGAATACGAAACTGGGCTTACTTTCAACTTCAGTAATCGGTGAAACTCTCCCGCCGTTTTGACCCCATTACAAGAACGAGGTCCACCATTAAGGCTTCTATCATGCAGCCAAACCACAGGTGTATCAGGGAACAGAACAGTTCCATCTCTGATGGCTAGAAGTATGTGATCCGGGCAAATAGCATTCAAGATGGGGAATTCGTAGTTGTGACGGGGGGAATGCTCTGGAGTGCCCAGGAAAAGCTCCAAAGGGGTGCCAGCGGCATCGTGAGCCTCGATCAAAGTGTCAATAAAAGATGAGTCTTCCCACTCGAAGCTTACTAGAGGACGATCCCAGTCGAACTTCTTCGAATGGATTGTGAGAGACATAATCACGTGACAACAAGGCCCATAATCATCTGCGGCATGAATAGGACAGAAACAGAAAGTCGATGGGGATTTTCATAGCAATGGCAATGGACGTGCTATCTGTTTCTTATGCCCGAGAGTATTGTGATGATAGCTTCGATGGCTTACCCAGGCGGTTTGTCAACGATTTGAGGCTGTGTCTCTGCGTTTGAGGTAGCTGCATAGGTGATGCATGTGGGTCTAAAGCCAATTTTTAGCGATTTTGAAAATGAGGCGGCGAAATACTGGGAAAGGATTGGTACGATTTCGACATTCTACAATATTCCTCACCGCTGAATCGCAGCATCGTTTATGCCCGACGCCCAACGCTTATCCACAATCTCTGGGGGGCCGTCAGAGGTCAGAGACGTACCAAAGACCAAAACTTGCATGTCTGTGAATCTTCCATTCAGCATCAAGCAGCTTCTGAAATAAGCATAAGTAGCCGACGTGATTCAGCAAATGGTCCTATGAGATTTATGGGCACAACGGTAGGACAGCCTTCAAGACAAGTGTTGTGCAATCGAAAAGTACCTTGCTTGCTCAACCAATTACGAATGCCATTTACATATAAGCTAATGCACAACACTACCAATCAAGGCCTTCTCCATAAACAGGGCGACGAATTACCCTGTGTCCGTACGGCTTCTCGGGGTGAACCGATCACGATGTGCACGTTTAGGCTCAAACTCTCAGGACCTATCTATACGTGTGCCTAAGCTCTCACAGCTTGTATGCTGTGCATGGATGTACAATAATTGCCAACCGTTATTTTGTCCGTCAAGATGCGGTTCCACAACATTTAGTGCAAAGCTTCGTTTCGTGGGAGTGTGCTGTGTATCTGAGGCTCGTTTCTTTTGGATCTTCCACACTTGAACTCGCCTAAATGGTTTCAAGCCACTTTCAACCAACCTGGAAATGGTGTTTAAACCCTTGATGTGTTTCAAGTTTTGTGTTATGACGGCCGATTATATAACTCAACCCCTGACCCTGTCCCTACCTAGCAAACGATGATTCAATGTCATCACCCTGGCCTATCGATTGTGTCTCGTAGGCCACAATACTGGCCAGTGCTGATCAGTGTTGATGGCTAGTATTTTTGGTGAAATGCTCAACTTAATCGTCAAACTCACTCGGGAAGCGTCCAAGATTGGGCACAAAGCTCTCATCTTTGCTTGAAGATTTTCTACTTGGCAGTCAATCTCACAAGATATATGCTTTAGCAAGCGAGCCATGCAGTACTACCTAGTAGACAGCATCCGCTCCTCACGTCATACAATTGAACGAGACTTTAAGATGCCTTCAGACGTATCCACATGAGTCTAGCTTGTGAGCCTGATGTCCAAAAGCGTCTCATCGTGATTCATCGCTTGCGCTTGCCTTGGGAAGGAAAGTACTGACAGACTTAGCAAATGTGCCTCAACATATGTTGCCTCATTCAGAATTCGGAGCCTGGATTCTGCTAAATAGAAATGAAGACACGGGGAGAAGCCAAATGCACTCGACCACCCTGGTAGTATGATAAGAATTTAAGTGATGCTTATGTTCCTCTTGCACGTCTTTACTTGGCGCAAAACCCATTAGATAGGGCGGCCCGACCAAGCCACATTTTCTCATACTATTGGGAAGGTGATTTCAACCTTGGGCCCTTCCTATTGGCCTAAGGTCGCTTTCACAAAGACTCTGGCAGCATATCCGTGAATCTGATGTAAGGAATTGGCTTTGCAACACCAAGGCTCCATGATTTGCATAATAATACGAGGGTTTGTTTAAGTTGAGACACTAGAAAAAGACCACTAACTTGAAATAAGATAGAATTAAAATTGATAAATATTCATCAACACGAGCTCATTTCCTACGCTTCTCTACAGCAATATCATTCAATTACTTCTTTTTGATAAAAAAAGAATAATAACTATAGAATAAATATTTAATTTATTAGCTCTTTTTATTTTGATAACTTATAATATAAATTAAATTTATTTAACGTTTATAATTAATAATATTTATTTATATTAATACGAAATTAAAGAATTATGATTAAGAATCAATAATTATAATAAGCTTAAATTACCCCCTTTTATTCATTAATAGAGCTTATTTTAAGTTTTAAAAGTTTAAAAAGGTTTAATTTTTAAGTTATTCAATAAAGCTTTTAAGTAAATATAGTTAGCGTCGCCTATAGCTGGTCTTAGAAAGCCAACTGGGTCCTTACGAAGGTAAACTTCTGCGTGGGATTCTGTAAGTAGGTCCAACTTCGACGTAAGCATCTTTGAATGTTACTTCGCGTTCCAACTCCGGAATCTATCTGACCTGTGGACATTAAGGAATGGGACTGCCCAAAAAGCAGCGCGAGCTAGGAGCCACCTTGCCACGATGTAGGCCGTCGGCAACTTGGAGCATCAATTTTAGGGTTGTCGACGCCGAGACGTCAGACGCTGAGTATTCAATGAGATAGGTGCTTGACTCCATTGTTGCGTTTGAGTAGCCGAATTCAATCATGTACTTGGGATATAATTGAGTCTGGATGATTAATCAAAGGCAAAGAGGCTTCTATTACATGTATGGTTCAAGTGAGCAGGGAGATAGTCCAAAAAGAAAATGATGGTGAGACTGTGAACCCGAGAACCAACTTATGAGAAGATGGAAAGGCGACTACCTCGGTGAGCTGATCTCCTATAGAACAGTCATCACAGACCCTGCTTACGAGTTGGAATCTGCAACACTTGCGATCTTTTCCCTGACAGGAGTGTTGTCCAGGAAGACATCAAACCGCGCAATCTTGCCAACTTCTTCCCCTTCCGTCACAATCGTGACCAGCCCCGCAGCTGGGATGTTGATATCTTCATTGTTAGGGTCGCCCTTGACCCGGTAAGTGATGTCCACCGCGAGCCAAATTCTGTTGTCCACCTGGTCTGCGAAATTTCAGTACCACTCGAAGACTTTATGGAATACAATTCTTACCAGCTTGACGAGTAACATGCTTCATATACGACAGCTGCCCAAACGCCGCATCCATAATCTGCTTGATAGCTTCCAGACCCTCGGCAACAGGAAAGTTGGTGAACTTGACCTGAGCATTCTTGGAGTAGATCTTGTCAAAGTCTGTGGTTTGAAGAGAGTCGTGTATATCGTGGGACTGTCTGTGAAGTAAGCGTGGAGTCCTGGGTGATGGCGTATGTACTCACGCGTTGAAGCCAAGCCAAGGCCTCGGCTTGAGCGTTTGGAACGGCGACCATTTTGCTCAGTATCACACTGGAACGATGAGACGCGGAGATATTACATGAGATTAGCGTTTTGATACTGTCTATGATGTGTCTCTTCTTATGTGTTGTGTTCCTTCTTAGTGCTGACAAATTGCGATTGCGCAAGAGCTTACAAATGTTGCCGAATCCTTCGGGGACTTTTACTCTGTAGAGGTTGCTGCGGCGCGGCGCCCCGCGACCATCTCTCACACATTATTTGCATATCTACGTCTACTAAAGTCAAGGGCTTGAGCATCCAGCGTAGACTGACTTGTCTACAGATCTCCACCGTCTGCAGAGACCACGTCTCTATGATCGTCATGGACCATCATTACCAAAGGATGCAAGGGAGTGTGTCCACGGGGAGGGTTGCCGAGAATCCAGAGGAGAGAACGAGGCATTAATCTGTGCTCGCCTTCAGCGGACCATCTACCAAGACCTCTCCTGGAAATGGGATCTTTGCTAGACCTCGAGCCCAGTCCATAGCGATGATGGGAGCCGCCTCTGCATCGCGAGACCACCGCATCTTCTTGACGAGGTTTCTCAACCGCTTTACGGCATGCCGATTACATGTTATCGTCGTGTAGTTCGTCTTCCACCCATACAAGAAAGACGAGCAGTTCGTCTCGTTGAGCGTTGGCTCCACCGCCAACACGACCTTTGGCAGTGTCCCCTTGCGGACCTCGTCTGCGACGTGCTCCCTGCGAAAGTCTTCCACGATGCGAATGGGTAGCTGCAGGTCTTCCGGTACTGGATGGCATGACAGCTTCTGAAGTTCTGCAACAAGGTTTAGGCGACGCTTTTCCGTTGCCCCATCGCCTTCTTCCTCCATGGGCCACCCATCCTGCCGTAAAACACGCTCCAAGAAAGTCATCTTATCGTCTTGCTTCCCCCGACGATCCTCCTGTCCAAGCAGTATTTCTATGCGAGAGACTTCCGACTCTGTAGATGCATCGTATACCATGCGCAGACATGTCTCCGCCGCCTCGCGAGTGCAGACAAGCGTGTGGCCGCGAAGAAGGGGGTAAAGGGACTTGGGTAGCCTGGGACCGTGCTCCGCTTCATCTCCCACGTCTTCCAAGATCTTGGGACGCCACTTTCGCTGTGAGCTGTGACTGTGAGAGATGTCTGTCGTCAAGGCCACAAATATGGACGTGTCGATGTTCAGATATGGAGTCAGGGGTGGCACTTTCGCAGCATCGCCATGACTCAGAAGGTTTGGTATCGCGAGTTCAAGAGGTGGAGGCGGGATCTGGCTCTCTTCGGCGCATTCCAACGCAAGTGAGATGCGGTCGTCACCGAGGCACTCAATCCTTTTCAAGAACCTGTCTATGGCAGGTACACTGCCCCGGGAGATATTTGGAAGCACGATTCGTACATGATGCTGATAGCCCCCATGTATTTCGCGAGCGGCAGCCAACAGCTGTGTTGCACTCTTTAGAACCTCGATCTGGGTCTCTTCGTCGTTTACAACCTCTTCCAGGTCATCATCTTCATCGTCATCATCATCGGGCTCGTCCCAGGGGAAATCTGCTTCGGCCATCTGTACTAACAGAGCCCGCTCGGTGATGCTGAGTACCCGCATCCACTCATGCCCGTTGTCGACAATGGCACTGACGAATACCGAGGTCTGTTGGCCGTCCAGCTTTGAGTAGGGAACTGCGAAACGAAACCAGGTGATTGAGCAACATTTCTTGATTGCCGACCAGTGGTTCTCGTATGAGGCAAGCTCCCCTTCTATGAGCCTAAAATCCCGAGATAGCGAACCCTCGGCCTCTGAACCCGGTTCATGCGTTTCTTTGCATCGTTGAATCAAGGCCTCCGCTCGAGTGCGTTGGCTGACGTTGGCCTGCCAGAATGTGCTGAAACCGGGGATGTAGGCGTGCCAGTGGTTGTTGACCTTGGCGGCTTGGACTTCGACAGCCAGGCGCATTTGCTCGAGCTCGTCGCATATCTTGTTGCAGCGGGCAATGAGATCTTCAGCGGTCTTGATGAGCTCTAAGGACTCTGCAGCCTCCTTGACTGGAGATGAAACCCCGTGGTTGCCATTGCCGTCCATCAGTCGAGTCAGAAGTTCGTTCTAGAGAGGCTCTGTGGGACAGATAAGTAGTGTTTGCGGTTCAGCTTCTAGTGAGTGCGAGGTGAGGTGCTGTTGGCCTTTGTCGATCGAGGTGAGAAAACCGGGGCGGATGAGTCATGACGTGGAGAGGTCCTCATGATCGATGGGAAAGAATGAGAGTCAACGGCTTGATTTCTTGTGTTAACATGCAAAATGGCTGTCCTACATTGGATTTCAAAGTCTAGAAGAAGTATCACCGCGGTCCACTTAGGACAGATTGAGATGAAGACGGTTGATTGTTGAGCAATTAAGGAGGAAATGTACGACAAGGGAGCCAGGGAAACGGCGTACAATAACTGGTCAGATCCTGAGAGTGGGTCGATATGAGGACAGGCTGATTACATCAGCCGGTCGGATTATTATCTCCGACAATTCCCGACGACATTCATTCGCAATCCTCACCTGCAATCACCACCATCACCATTACCGAGACCTTTGATCTTGAGTACGAGGTTCATCAACATTAAATTTGTCTGATCACTATCCAGAGCCTCCCAACGCCTCGTTACTTGATATACAGCCGTTATATGCTACGCTTGTCCCGCTTCCATGCAAAAGTTCCTATGCAACATTCTCAATCGACCACGACTCGACAACTTCGGCGAGCGTGCTGTCACTACCAACATTTCCAGGGAAGACAACGTACGGCACACCACGATGCCGGCTAGTCTCCTCGTCGCACTTCCACAACGGGACGCCCGGGGCAGCTTGGCCCATGATGCGAGCCCGTCTCATCCTCAGACCCTTCGTGGCCGCATCAGATGATGTGATGCCACCCTTTGCAATCAGGTACCGCGGCCGTACGTCAATCTGCTCAACAAGCTGTACCAAGGCCCGGGCGACCTTGGAACCAATTTGGAGAGAGCTGAGCGCATCGCCTCCCTTGATCAGCTTCCGAGATGTCATGACGAGAACGTCCTCGCCAGCTGCAAGCTTGGTTGCTGTCTCGGCTGCTGCCGCATTCACGACCTTCTCCGCGGCGTCCGCAGATTCGATCAGCCCTTCGACATCGAGCTCGATCACCGCCAACTTGTCGCCTCTCCTCTCCCTGAGCACCTTAAGTTGTGCCGTCGTCTTGGGTACGTAAGAGCCAGCGACGATCAGTCCACCTGGCTGCTTGGTACCGGCCTCGACCGACACTCCAAGGTCTGCCATGGTCAAAGGTGGGATCCCTGTGATTCCCAGGCGGGAAGAAACGAAGGCGGCGCCAGTGCGGTAGAGATACCGCCTGCCCTCCTTCTCTGCCTCAAGCAAGCCTGCCACGAAGACGTGCATGTCAGACTCGGCGGCAGCATTGACGATGACGACTGTGTTGGAGCCAGGCGCTACTGAAAGGAGCTTCTTGGTGACACCCGCAGGGCCCCCCACGCGAATATCATCGAGAGTAACGGACAAGAATGAAGATTCGTCGAAGCGGTGGCCGCACTTCTCGAGGACATACTTCCGCAAGTTCGAGTTCTTGTACCCAAATGTGGCGTCTTGGGCAAAGGGTGTCTGGCTCGCGGGTACCAGCACGTCGCCTTCCTTGACATAGTGCACGTCATTGATAGTGTATCTGCCGCCTTGATAGAAGAAAGGCGTCACAACCCACGCATCGAACTTGCCAAGAGCCTCCTCGGCAGCCTCGGGCTCCTCCGGAAGATGTCCACGAAGTGTCGAGTCACCTCGAAGGACGATCTCGAATGCTTTGCCTGCCTTCTCAGCCGCCGTCTTGACATTCTTGCAAATCTCGACAATAAGTTGTTTGGCTTCGGCGGAAGGTAATGCGCGAGAGTTTGTCAAGATGAAGAATCCAGTCGGGTTGAGGCCAAACTCGTCATCCAACGTGGCAGCGTCCCACACGGTCAGGACATCGATGTTATGGCAGGTTTGAGTTCCTGTTGGATCGTCGTCCAAGACCACGAGAACCGGCACTTCGTCATTGTCGACGACCCTGCGAGTGGAGCTGATCACATCACCCGAATACTCGGCTGGGAGCCCGTCAATCGTTTCTTGTGCCGGTAGGCCCTGTTCCTGGCCTGCTTCAGTCTCCGCGTTCTCGGTTTTCGAGCTATTGCTCTCCTCGGACTTGGGACCGGCATTACCAGAGACGGAAAGGCCCGCTAACTCCCAAAGTCGAACGACACCAGCATCGGATTCCTTTGTCCAGCCGTGAGATGCACCTGCAAGGTACAAGTTGTGAGCTGCTGACGAAATCGGAGCAAAGTAGGTGAGTCGCTTTGCCTCGTCAAGGACGATGCCGAGATCCTTCACGAAAATGGCCAAGGCGGAGTGTGGTGTCCAGTCGGCATCGAGCATTTGAGGCACTCTGTTCTCGAACATCCAACTCCATGCGGCGGCACTGCCAAGAATCTCGAAAGCCCGTCTCGTGTCGAGGCCTAGGCGAGCGGCGAATGCCATAGCTTCGGCAGCGGCTGCAATATGAACACCGGCCAGTAGCTGATTGATAAGTTTCACTGAAGACGCAGCGCCAACGCCTCCCTGAACATGGCAAAGGTTGCTTGACGTTCCCGTCATCGCCAGTAACGGGCTGTTGACCTTGGAAAGAACAGCCTCATCTCCAGAGCAAATGATCTACCAGATGTTAGCCACGAGTCTCAAGTCTGGTGGATAAGATGAAAAACTTACCGTAAGGGTGCCATTGGCGGCGCGGACCACACCGCCGCTGACAGGGGCATCCACGAGGCTCAGTCCCTTGCCAGTGTTTGTGAGCTTAGCCTCCAGTTCTCTAACAAATGAGGGTGGGACTGTCGAGCTGAGAATCACGATGGCGCCATCGGGCAAGGTTTCCGCTGCCTTTCCGGAGCCGAAAAGAACATCGTCGGCTTGCGCAGCATTCTGAACCATCAAAACCAGAATGTCGGCGCCCTTTGCTGCCTCCGCGGGGCTGCTAGCCTTGGACGCATTACCTCCGTTGGCAACGAACTTGTCGATAGCGGGCTCGTATACGTCGTAGCCGTGGACTGCGAAGCCGGCTCGGAGAAGAGACCCAGCCATGCCCTGGCCCATCGCGCCCAACCCCACCATACCAATCTTTGAGATTTCCAGGGGCGTACTGCTTGGAGTCAACTTTTCTTGCGTGTTCAACTGGCCTGCTTGCTCCTTCACGGCATTGGGGGAACCAGGGAGGAACACCCGGACAAGTCCAGAGTCGTCCTCTGCACCGTATCCATGTGCAGCTCCTGAAATGTACAGCTGCTCAGCTACCGACGCAAGAGGCACCGGGAATTGCAAAGTTCTGGCCGTTGAGACGACGATGCCCTTTCCAAACTCATCAGTCGCAAATTCATGACAACACTGAGGGAGCAACTCACCATGTCTTTGACAAAGATGTTCAGGGCCGACAGCGGTGTCCAGTCGCCGTCCAACATGTGCGGCACGCGATTTTCGTACGCCCAAGAATTACCAGCAGCATTTGTGATGATGTTGTACACTTCGCGAGTGTTCAGGCCCGCTTTGGCGGCCAAGCCCATCGCTTCTGACGCAGCAGCAATGTGCGTTCCGACCAGGAGCTGGTTGACCATTTTGATCTTGCTACCCGCTCCTGGTCCACCAGGAATGATGTAAAGCTTCTCCGACATGTCACGCAGAACACGGTCTGCACGTTGCAACGCTTCAGGGGCCCCGGAAGCGAAGATACTCAGTGTGCCGTCGGCTGCACGCTTCGTGCCGCCCGATACGGGGCTGTCCACCACCAGAACATCCTGCCGGCCCGCCGCCGCAATCCGGGGCGTCAGTGCCTCATGATACGTTGGAGGTACTGTTGAGCAGAGGAGAACGGTAGCATTTGCCGGTAATGCTACGGGAATGATGTCAGTTGCATGCTCATGGCTGAGATGCATGCGGACAACTCACTTTGCAGGGCACCCGTCTGATCATTGAAAAGTATGTCATCGATTTGCTGTGCGTTGACTGCCATGCAGACTAGGATATCGCTGGTTTTGGCCACTTCTTTTGGAGACTCTCCCGACAAACCACCCTGAGCGACGAATTTCTCTGCGCTTGGAGGATAAACATCGTGACCCTGTACTCGGTATGACGGTTTCTTCAACAAGTTGCAAGCCATTCCGAAGCCCATGGCACCGAGGCCAATGAAGCCGACGCGGGTGGCCTCAGCGTCTGTGGCTGCCATCGTGGATTATCGACTGAGGATTACTTTGATCTGGCGTGACTCGTCGGCGACTTTTTCTCCGAAAACCAACGACAGCTTGGCTCGAACTGGGAATAACGGTAGACCCAGTCATCTTATACCCTACCTTGCATTCCCCAGATCGGCCAAGACTCGGAAATCCAGCCGCGGCGGCCGGAGGACTCTTCGCAAATGGTCTGGGACTCGTCTGGAGGAAGAGCCGAAGAGGGCACCCGAGGTGGATTGCGGGCCCGTGTCTGTCCAAGTTTGATGGGGGTGGTCCTCCACACCCTGGACTCGCCTGGAGGCTTGTTCCCCTCACCATTCCTCTCCATTCCTCCCATCCGCAAATGGGACGCGACAGAAACAGGACTAGCCCGAGCCGGCACTCCCAGTCTCCCAGCGCAACAACAAGTGCCTGGCGCTGAAGTTGATCAAGTGGACGCGACTGAGTTTGAGCAGGTGGAGGCGTCTCAACCCCGCACGGAAAGAAGACCGGCCCGCTTATAAACAAAGGAGATGCACGTCGTCCGGCGAATCTTTTCCCTCTTTTCTCCCCTCGGCCATCGTCCCGCCCTTCTCTCTTGTCCACTCCGTCCACCTTCCCTTCCAAGACCCACGAAATTCACACGGACTTCTATCCAGCCCTTGGGACCATGAAACGTGCGAGAATCGACGCTCCGGACAAGACCCCGTCATCGGCGGCGGTCTCGGGGGTGGCCTCCGGGCAGCAAGCTCATTTGCCCAAGATTTCGAGGAAGATCCGAGCATGTGAGTTTTCCCCAAACTTTCGGACTGAACTCCCACTCCCTTGCAGAAGTATGACCTCAAGAGAAAGACTAGTCGCTGATACATGAGGAGAGACAGGCCAGGAATGCCAGAATCGTAAGATCAAGTGCGGCATTGAGCCGGGTCAGAACCAGTGTGCTCGATGCTCTCGCCTGGGTCTGCAGTGCGTCGTGAACAAGAGTCTCCAAACCTTGCTCGACAGCGAGAATGAGTGGAAAACCAAGATGGAAATGCAGCTTCAGACCCTCCAGGCTTCGATGATGGAAGTTAGGCGGGCTTTGAGTAAGTCAAACCCCCCACTTCCTGGCACCCCCCTGTTTCTGGCACCCACAAAAACGATGGGATCACAACCCAACCTCCTCATTACTATTAACTATTGATCCTCAACCACACCCACTACAATACAACTGCCAGCCTCACTAGGGCATTCAGAGTCGCTGGATTCAGCCGTAATAACCTCCTTTTCACCCGCTTCGATTTGAGCCCGATGGATATCCCTGATGTTCGCAAACTTCGTGTTGGGATCGATCTGAACAGTCTTCCTCTTCCTAACTGCAGCGTTGGTAACTTGGCCCTCAGGTGAGCCAGCTGCTGCTGGGCAACTGCCAGTTGCCAGGCCTGCTCTGTGAAGCCTTTTTCACCTTCCTGAACAGCAGCCGTTGAGTGCTGGTATCATTGTCGAGTTGGGTGTATAAGTGCAGTTGACCGCTGAGCTCTGCCAGCTTCCTGGGTGTCGACCAGACCACTGCAGAGGAAGCAGAATCCATGGCTCAACAGGGGTAGTTTGTTGACCATTATGGCATCGCTTTTTGCCCCGACTGGTTGGTTTGGGTGTGGTGGGCTTAGAAGGCTCAGGTAATACCATAGGGTTCATCAGGGCTTAACCATCGCTACAGGGTGTAGACCAGTCCACTTCCAACCACTTCTGATGTTCGAGACTGATAGACCAGCAAGTCGAGCCTTCTGGTAACAGTCCAGGAAGTTCCTTTTACCTATAATGGTAGAGTCGTTCCATTGAGACAAGTAACCGAGCTCCTTCCGATAGGCTGACTTAACAGGGCTGAAGACAGACTGGTCAAGTGGCTGGAGGACATGAGAGAGTGTGGTGGTAAGAACAGTAAATGGATATTGTTAATATAGCAATTCCACATGAAGTCTGTCGTCGTATGACTCCCATGCCCATCCACAATCAACAGTCGAGCCTCGCCCTCAGCCTCAGGCATAGTCTGTGGGATAAACACCTTCTCTAACCATTCAATGGCAGTTAAGTCTGTAGTCCAGCCATTATCTGTTGCTGTAAACTCCCACCCATCGTATGGAACCAGATGTAATGGAAACCACTGTTGTTGGACCGTCTTCCCTTGAAAATGATAAGAGGACAAGTGCCCTACCCAAGGCTGAGATACACTCAATGATAGAGACCCATGCCCTCGACCCAGGTTGTTTCTTGCGAACAGACGTCGTCTCAGCCATGCCCAGCACTAACCCATTAGCTCCTGACCCTCGAGGATGCCAGTCTCATCCATATTATATCTGTTGGCTGGTTTGATGTCCTTGATCTCAGGGATAGCAAGGAACTTAAACCAGTTCCTAATGACCTCAGTAGATGCCCCATTAACGCGTCTAGAATCGATGGAACGACTTCTCTGAACCTTAATGATAGGGTTCCTTCTCACGAAGGCATAGATCCAGCCTTTTCCTAATGGTTTGGTATCCCCAGCAGCCAGAACTCGCTCTGCAATTCCTTCACCTGTTGGTGCGTTGGTGCGAGGCCCAGCGAAGCCTGAATGCGAACCCATTGTGCCAGCTTACTCTCCTGGTCAGGAGACAGCCTCTGCCAGTCAGCAAAAGCCACTTTCCTAGTCTGACCACCTTGGAGACGTAGTTGGAGGGTTGATCGTGGTATCCCATACTCCAATGAGGCTCTCTTTTGACTCTTGCCGTTTGAGATGTCCTCGAGAGCCTGACGAAGCTGATCTTCGGTATATTGAGGCATTAGATATAGAAGAAGGTATGTGCAAAAAATGAGCCCATTTGGACTCGAATTGAAAATGTTGTGATAAAAGGAGGTTGGGGGTGGGCATTGCGTTGTGGTGGATTTTCGCGTTTTTGTGGGTGCCAGAAACAGGGGGGTGCCGGGAAGTGGGGGGTTTGACTTATGCCACAGCTCGTGCCTGTGCCACCTTTCCACCACGAAGGCGCCGGCATGTCCCAGAGTCCGCAGAACATGGCCGGATCACAGAGCAGTCCCGGTACGGGGCCGTCCCCCGTTCGGCCACCCGACGTTACGGCAATGACGCGGGAGAATTCACCGGAGCCCACGGCGCAAGACAACGGCGAAGACCAGGCCATTGTGAGTGCGCCCATGGCCAGCCTCTTCGAAGTGACCAAACTGCGGAACATCCGGAGCGACCCAGGGGCGCGGGTCCACCTCCCATCCAGCCGGGCCCAAGAGCCAGACTTCATTGCCCAGGGCAAGTTTAGCGTCCAGGAGGCCGAGCAGCTTTTCTCCACGTTCCGTGGGACCCTCAATGCGTACTTGTGGGGAGGCATTGCACTAGTCCATGACAACCTCACGGCCACGCGCATGTCTTCACCTCTGCTCACGGCCGCCATCCTTGCTGTCACTGCTCTGCACGAACAAGATGAAGGCCGAGCTTTCGATATTTGCTACCCAACTTTCTTGGAGCTAGCCAGCCAGACCATGTTCGACCGCTACCACAGTCTCGACGATGTGAGGGGACTTTGCATCGGCGCATTTTGGCTTTCCGACATCAGCTGGAAGGTGTCTGGTCTTGCGGTACGAATCGCCACGGAGCTAAACCTTCATCAGTTCTGCGCCAAAGCCCTCAACAAGGGACCACAACACGTCGAGAAGGCCCGGCTATGGTACCTGCTCTACGTCTGCGACCATCATTTCAGTATTGCGTACGGCAGGCCTCCAGTCATTAACGAGGACGCTACCATCACGCATCACGAGGCATTCCTTCTGCTACCAGGCATCACACAAGCGGACCACCGTCTACACAGTCAGGTTGGTGTCTTTATCATTTTGAGTCGGGTCTTCCACACCTTTGGACCAGACACGTCAAGGCAAGTTGCCAGAGATGAGTTTGAGGCACTCAAGCGATACGATGCCGATCTGGGTCGATGGAAGCTTCAATGGGAAACTCGGTTAGGTAAGACATTTTGGACTCCTGGTGCCAACGAATTATCAGCTAACATCTTTCATCAGTGCCGGACAAACACATCTCAAAGTACCCTGCCAAGGGCGTCATCCTCCACTATCACTTTGCCCGTCTCCTATTGTTTTCCATCTGTCTCAGGGGTCTGAATCCATCAAACCCGACTGACCAATACGCCATGTCCGATGAACGCCGCGACTTCATCAATCTCGCCATCGCAAGCGCGTCTGCCGCATTGGAACTGATCTTAACAGACACCGATATGCGGAGAGCAGTCATTGGCGTGCCTCTGTACCTGCTGACGACCATCGCGTACGCCGCCATGTTCTTGATGAAGGTCCACGCGCAGTGGAAGCCAGCGAGGCTGGACATACGCTACGAAGATGTGGTCTCTCTCATCGAGCGGGTCGTCCAATTACTGGAAGAAACTAACCGCTGCGCCCGTCATGTGGCTCACTACATCGGACGCGGCCTGAGCAACATGCTGGACAAGTTCAAGGAACGTGGTCCCCAAGAGAGGCAGTACATCGCCGGAGGTCAGCCCGGCCAGCCTGGTCAACCAGGCCAGCAGATTCCTCAAGTTTGGAATGAAGGGGAGATGGGGCAAGACTGGAACCAATGGATGTTCAGCGGAGAGATGATGAATAATTTTGGGATGGGGCCGGAGCAATATCCGCTCAACATGCTAGACTTGTTGAATTCGCAGATGCCCGGCTGACGACAACATCGTCGACTCAATGAGATCACAATTTGATGAACTGCCCACCTCGAGCCTTGCTTTTCCACGTTTGATATGCACACTTGCAGCGTTCGTGATGTTTATCTCAAGCTTCACATGGTCGAAGGCGGGGAAAGCTCGAACGGGGCGAAGCCCGATACCAATCGGAGGGATCGCCGCAGTTGGTGGCCGGCACTTAGACCCGGACACAAGGCCGCGCTGGCTCTCGCTTGTTGGCTGCCCCCCACCCAAAGATATGGATCCAGATCCGGTCCTCGACGCATGCAGCCCAATCACGCCTCGTCTGGTCCAACAGCAATAGTTCATTGTCCGATTTCCAGCACACCGATGAACGATTCGTCCGTGACAGGTCCAGAACTCCAGACTTTGCCCACCTTCTCAAGCGGATTCCTTCGACATCCACACTTCCAGGCGGCCCCCCTTTAGTTCCCCTTTAGTTCGTTCCCCAGTTTGTGGTCTACCCCGTGGGGGAGGAGAGCAGAGCAAGGACGGAGTACCCCGGGCAGAGACACGACGCACTAGACACGAGTCGCGTTTTGTGAACATTATATATCAGACGTCGCTGTTAATTGCTACCGCGTTTGGATGGAAAGAAGGTTTCATCCCTTCACAGCCTCATCGTCTCCAGATCCCCGGATCTTCCATTCTTCCTCTTAATAACCGCCCAAGTCGCATCTTCCAGTCGAGGAAGATCGCGTCGCGTTCTGCTCCGCTCAAGAAGTCGCCCCTACACACAGACCAACACTGCGGTGTGTGAAAGAGCATTCGCCACTTTCAGCCGCTCCGAGTCAGGGCAGACAAAGGAAAACGGGACGACACTCGACGACATCCGACGACATCGACGACGACGACGACGACGACGACACAGCACGAGCAAGAGGATCGCAATCATGAGTTTCGAGAACGGTCGCAAGCAATCTCTCGAGATGAAGGAAGACAAGAATGCGCCCGTCGTCAGCGAGGCGGACGCTGAGCTCGCTGAGGCACTGAGGAACTATGTGCCCGGCACACGGGAGGAGAAGCAGCTCGTCAGGAAGATTGACCTTTACCTGGTATGTCAATTGCCCCTAGAGATCCTCGGTGAGATGATTCTGACTTGAAGTCTAGATGCCCATGCTCTGGATCATGTACATCCTCAACTATGTCGACCGCACAAACATCGTAAGTCCATCTCACTCACCTCTTTCTCTCCCTTCCCCCTCATGGCGATAAAGGGGCAACGAAGCATCGCATGAAAAATTTCAACAACGCTACTCCAAAGCACGGGCCCACTGACATCTCAACGCAACACAGGGAAACGCAAAGATCGCGGGAATGCAAAAGGACCTCTCACTCACCGACGATGGATACGCCTGGGTCCTCTCGATTTTCTTCTTCGGCTACCTCATCTGCGAGGTCCCCTCCAACATGATCCTCAGCCGCAGCCGGCCGTCCATCTTCCTCCCCGGTATCATGCTCGTCTGGGGCGCCCTCAGCGCCCTCATGTCCATCTCAAAGACCTACGGCGCCCTCCTCGGCTTCCGCTTCGTCCTGGGCTGCATCGAGGCCGGCTTCTTCCCGGGCGTGCTCTTCCTCCTGTCGTGCTGGTACACCCGCGCCGAGCTCGGCAAGCGCTTCGCCATCTTCTACACGGCCGCCGTCCTCTCGGGCGCCTTTGGCGGTCTCCTCGCCGGCGCCATCACGGCCAACCTCCACGACGCGCACGGCATCGCCGGCTGGCGCTGGCTCTTCATCGTAGAGGGCGTCGCGACCGTCGGCGTCGCGCTCATCGCCTTCTTCGTGCTGCTCGACTACCCCGCCACCGCGAAGCAGCTTACCCCCGCGCAGCGCCAGCTCGCGAGCATCCGTATCATTGCTGACGGCATCGCCTCGGGCGGGCAGAACAAGGCGCGCCTGTCGCACTGGAAGGCCTTCGTCGCGGCCGTGTCGGACCCGCGGACGTACATGTTCATCGTGCTCTTCATGCTCGACGTCGGCGCGGGCACGATTTCGTACTTTATCCCTACCATTACGCTTACCCTTGGCTACGATACCGTCAAGGCGCAGTACATGACGGTGCCCATCTACGCCGTCGCCTCCGTGTGCCTCAACATTGTCGCGTGGAGCTCCGACAAGCACCAGGAGAGACGGTGGCACGTCGCTGCGCCGCTTGGCTTGGGCTTCGCGTGCGCTGTCGTGTGTGCCGCCGTGCAGACACCTATCGTGCGGTACGTCATGGTTTGCTTCCTGGCGGCAGGTATCTGGTCTGCGCTGCCGCTCGTCTTGTCCTGGACGAGTGGTGTCATCAGCTTGCCGGCTGAGAAGCGTGCTATTGTGTTGGCGATGGTGAATGCGTTTGGCAACTTCTCGAGTGTGTATGGGAGCCGCATCTGGCCGAGCAAGGATTCGCCGGCGTATCACACCGGCTTCGGTGTTACAGCTGGGTTCTTGGGTGCGGGTATGATTATTGCGATTTTGATCCCTATTCTTGTCAAGATGGTGAACTGGCAGGGTACCAAGGCGGAAAGAGAGGTTCTAGCCGAGAACGAGTTGGAACAGTGAGCATGTTGATGTATTGTCCCGAAGAGCGGGGAAGTCTATTTCGATGGAGGATTACGGCAGCGTACATGATATTATTTGAAATGGATGGCCCACGGGTCTAATGGAATCACCTGACATCTTGTGACCATACTTGTGTAACCCTTCAGGTGCAACTTGACCTTGATCGTCAAAAAGATCTCTTAACGCGATACCCCTGCGGCCGCGGTCCGCTAGTAGAGCCACAATTCCGCAAATAGCCCATGATTCAAGGACAGTGCTGTAGACCTGCGTCATGTCTGATGGACGACTGACCACCATAGGAGGACTAGCCTTTGGAGCTCTTTGGCTAACGGCAGGTGGTCTCACCGATACGTGTGTCTCGCTGTAGTGATTAGGTAGAATCTTATCTCTATTGAAGTTGAGGAGACATGACGCGATTTAGCTCCGTGACCCTCTGCCGAGGCACCAGGGTTGGTGCGTCCACACCGTATGGGGTCGTTGTTCAGGTTTGGCTATGCTCGCGTTGGAAACGAAACATTTGTTTGATCACTGAAGCTGAGATTAATAAAAAGTACATAACTATGTCAGAACCATAGGTAGAGTGGCTGGCAATGAGCAGCAACAGTCAACACGGGCCACGGACGCAAACCAAATTTCTGTGTTTATTGTGTATCTTGGATGAAGATAGCTTGTAAGCGATTCTCTTTTCTCTCTAATTGAGGTTACAAAATCTTCCTTCCCTTTGACTAGGGGTATCATGAAACTAAACTTCTTGGTTTTTACCAGGGTATGTAAAAAGGGTTCTCAGTCCCACACATTTCCCACTTGTATAAGGTAGCTTGTACAGGGCAAATCAGTATCGTGAGATCATTCGTGAGATCGAATTACTTACACTGCTCATGGTAGCAACGTCGGTACGGGGAAGGGCCTCTGCTTCACTGGTCTCAGGGGCCTGTCATCTTGCTGGTTCTTCCAATCGTTCGGGTGAGGCTCGCCGTGTATGTTGAAAAGGGGCTCGACCTTGATAACGGTGGGGTAGGGCATGATTTTCAACAATGTGTGATCGTCAATCTTGGCCAACATGGCGTTTGTGCCAGTCTCGATATCCGGCCGGACCTCGCCAAAGTTTCTCGCCCTGATGTACATGCAGAGGAGATCTTTGACGTCCACGACGTCCGGCAGGTAGTTATTGGCGGTGACGCGGTAGGTTCGTGGAATGATCTCGTACTCTCCTCCTGGTTCTTCCTCTTTCATGAGCGTAGGGAACGTGAATTTGTGTTTGTGGCGTGGGTGGATTTGTCCGGCGAGGGCCCAGACGTGGAAGGGCTTGTAGGAGACGTCGTAGTGGCCTCTAGAGACGCACCAGACCGTATTCAAATCCTTGATGTCTCTTTCTAAGTACCAGGGGAGACCATTTGCGGGGCGACGTCCTTTTGGCGGGGCAAGTAATAGTGCTCCAGATGGCGCGGACTCGGTAGATGTGGCCAAAGTTGTCGGGACTTGTGCTGGAATGACTAGGGAAAAGGTGTTGGCGATGTCTTGAGAATTTTGACCAACGTGGGACGGTGAAAAATTGAATGTCGCAATCGATGAAGGCTGTGTCGCTGTGACACCTGGAGTATCGGCCTCTCGGTTGCCGCCGTCGTGCTGGCATGATGCCGCGGCTGCAAGCAGCAAGTACGCAAGCGAAAACGTTATTTGCATGGTGTAGTGACAATATTCTGTTCGTGATAGATGTTTGACAAAGATTACGATCAGGACCAAATGTAGTATGATGTTAAATCATGATGAGATCTACGTTCAATGGGAACTTTTATATTCGCAATGGTAGAAACTGAGTTTGCGGACCATCCATGTAATGGTTCGTGATAGACCGCAGAGGTATCTAAGTAAACTGGGCCACCCTTCTTAGTTTTTTGACCTTCCGGTCGTATCGTAAAGCTTTACCTTGATAGTCATACATGACTCCTTTACACTTATACCTTACCTTAATTAACGAAACCCTCGCCCGCACCGTTCCTTACTTCTCCTAAGGTAGCCAGTGTATGTCTCCCGACAGGATGGCTGACCTATGCTCTCAGCCACTGAAGCTCTTGTCTAAGTCACACTTTCAGAGAAAGGATGACTGGCTGAGTTGCGGAGTCCTCATCTTCTTAAAATCAAATCGGAAAATCTCTTGTGCAATGATTCAGAAAGTCAAGACTATTGGACTCCGTGTTCAGAATACGTCAAAGCAGTCAATCATCTCCTTCTCATAAAAACCACGCAACGTTAAGTGTTTCTTCCCAAAGTCAGTGGGAGACGGAATGGTCCTTTACCCTGACCCTATCACACTCTAAACCTGACTGCGAGCAACTAATGCATCCATATCTGGTCGATTACGTGGGCCTGATTCTTCCTAAGGTTGTGGAACTTAGTCATCATTCTTTCCATATGGGCTATATGACAAATCTACGAAA